AGGCCATTGCTATTAGGATGGAGGCCATTGCTATTAGGATGGGGGCCATTGCTATTAGGATGGATATTAGGATGGAGGCCATCGCTAAATTTGTGTGGGGGCCAGGTGCTGCAGCTGTTGAGGATCGCGTTGCCGCCCTGGAGGTGCGGGCCTGCGATGCGCTCGTCCTGAAGCGGATTGGGGTCCGGTCCGAGCATCACCAAACCCTAAGACACAAATGGCTTGGCACAGCTCAGCCTCAGAATTCATTCAAACCTGTGTGGACAGGGGTACCAAGTAAAACGATGTACTGTAAAAAGAATCATGTCCAGGATTTCGGTATGAACCTATTGCTTATCCTTCCATTGTGAGAGTTGGGCATGGAGTGAAGTCCCAGGTTTGGTCTGTTGTTCGTCTTGCCGAGGCCTTGCTGGAGCCAGCGCGCAGAGGCCGATTCTGCCCAGCTGTGGCGCATGAGTGGGACGACCTACTTCCCACCCCATAGAAGTGATCTTGCACGTCATTGGAAAAGGTTGGAACATGAAAAACATATTTTGGACACCGTTTTGGAACCAAAAGTTCCCCGTCCTAGGAACAATGGCATTGCTACTAGGAGCAAGAAGCTACTAGTAGCTCCTGGCATCGCTACTAGGAACAAGGGCATCGCTACTAGTAGCTTCTTGCTTCCCTTTTTGCGTTTTTTCCCTGTCCTTGTGGCTTTTATTTTCACCTCTTCAAGGTGAGGACTGCGCCATCGCTGCTTTAGCAGACAGCTTGCAGGTGGGGACACACACTCTGACAATTGTATTCAGGTATCTCAATTCCCACGTTGGGAAGGAAGGTGAGGGAAACGTAAGGTGAAAGGGTCAGCGCAACTGAAATGTTTAACAATCTGTTCACGCGGTTGAACGACGGCGGCTGAATGCTGCAGTGGGAAAAAACCTGTTTGTGGGAGAGTATCGTGAAGAAGGACCATGAAAACAACAAAACAGCGGCAGGGTGGACCATTGGAGTCAGTGTGTTGAAAGCAGGTACAGGAAGGTGATCAGCCTTCCCTTCCCATCCATGACCGCAGCTTCGTTGCACACGGTAGGTCATGGATGCCGTGTGCCCCTGCTAGTGAAACAATTGGCAGTGGAGGTCAAGAAAGGAAACCTGTTGACCAGGGGGCGACACACACAGGTCACCGTCGCCGGCGCTTTTTCAAAAACCGGTGGCAGGCTTGGTGGTTGTGTCCTTTTTGACACACTCCGCCGCTTTGCGGCTCTCTGGCATAAAACGGAAAGTAGTCACCTAAAAAGCCTTAGAAACAAAAGAAAGGAAAGACAGAAAGAGCAGCGCTAAGAGGGCAAGAAAGAAAGATAGGTGTAGAAAAAATGAATACTTAGCCCTTGACTGGGGTAGGGAAACGAGCCTGAAGAACAACCTAAAAAGCCTGAGAGAATGCCCAACAAACGACGGAAAGCGCAAGAAGGAAAGTGGGGGGGCAGGGAGGGGATGTATGTGCATGTGTGTGTACATGTGTGTGTGTGTGTGTCTGACTACCTAGCTCTCTAGAGTTACTGAATACTTAGACGAAAAATTACGTGCAGTAGTTAGGGAGCGGGACTTTAGTCTTAGACCGCCCGGGTAGAGAAGACTAGAACAGGAACAACACAGGGAAAGGCACCGACACACAAGTGTGTCGAGTACCATTTCCCTATGTTGCCCTAATTAGGTGGGGAGTAGAACTCGGCGGGCGGGGGGGGTGGGGAAACCTGCCTGATTGGGGTACCGTTTTTAAGCCCGGCGGCTATGGAGACCCGTGGTAAGGCCCGGCGGCCGTGGTAGCGGTTGATTCTGTGGGAGTGTAGGTGAGTTCCAGTGAAGTTCCTGTGAGCGGTGGTAAGTTCAGTGAATGCTTTCCCAATGAAACAGCGCCCCAATGATGGGGATCACACTCAGCACCCGAGTGGGACGGCTGAGCGAAACACACTCTGACAATTGTATTCAGGTATCTCAATTCCCACGTTGGGAAGGAAGGTGAGGGAAACGTAAGGTGAAAGGGTCAGCGCAACTGAAATGTTTAACAATCTGTTCACGCGGTTGAACGACGGCGGCTGAATGCTGCAGTGGGAAAAAACCTGTTTGTGGGAGAGTATCGTGAAGAAGGACCATGAAAACAACAAAACAGCGGCAGGGTGGACCATTGGAGTCAGTGTGTTGAAAGCAGGTACAGGAAGGTGATCAGCCTTCCCTTCCCATCCATGACCGCAGCTTCGTTGCACACGGTAGGTCATGGATGCCGTGTGCCCCTGCTAGTGAAACAATTGGCAGTGACTCATATACGAACTGTATGTTCCAATTGAAGGCTGGCAAGAGCATGCCATGGACAATTGGCCATGGAACCCTTTGCTCCTGTTTTTGCTTCTCCTTTTTATTCCTTTTTGCTTTAGCTTCTGAGCCTTGGAAACGGCCTTGTCACTTGTCACATATCCTTTGACTTACCGTCGGTACTTACGGTTGAGTGTGTATCGCAAGAGATTGTGGGGGAAGGGGCCGTTCCAATGTAACATACTTGTCCCTTTTGTAGCCACCCGCGGGCAAAAATTGGAGCGGGTCAATTTTAGAGCAGGCAGGAGCTGTTCCAACGTGCTACGTTTTGCGGGTAGAGTTTTAGAATATTTACAGAAGGAAGGAACCTTTGCGATGTAGCATGCCTTTTGTGATCACCCGAAGGTAAACTGCCTGAAAAGATGCAAAAAAGTCAAGCCCGAAGCCCACCGAAACCACCCCAAAGAAAGAAGTAAAGCCCCAAATCAAACTCAAAGACATCCTAAAGATAAAAACCTCAGCCAAGGCCAAAGATACCCTAAGTTCCTCTCTCCACTTTGTTCCTTCTTGTCCTCTCTCTTTTTTTCTCTCTCTCTCTCTCTCTCTCCCACTCCCTCTCCCCCTCCTCCTCTTTGCTCCTTCTCCTTTGCGCTTTCGTCCTCTCTTCCTGTCCCTCTCTCCCTCCCTTTCGCTCTCTTGCTCCTTTTCCTGATCTTTCTGCTGCTCCTTCTGCTTCCAACACACTCCCGAAAAAAATATTGCACAAATGGCTTAAGACAATCTCTCCAGAATCCCCCACCCACTGGCAACTGTAACTCAGGGAATGCCCTCTCTTCATCAACCTTAGGCGCTGACAATTTTGGAATTTGTAGGACCTCAAGCATTTGTTTATGTTTGTTTGTAGGCCTCGCTGCTTACATCATGAGAGATCACCATAGCACGTGCTTGCCTGCTTGTGTGGATGTTGGATCAGCTGGCAGATGCTGCCAGGACTGGCATGCCAAGGTCCGGCACACCGCCTTGGATGCGCTGTCCGAGGTCGATGGCCAGTCTGATGCGGAGGGAAGAAGGTCGTGCCAAAGTAGAATCGGTTGGATGTATTTTTAGCCAGCTGAGTTTGATCTTGCTTTATTAACAAGCCGGGGGAGGCTGGAGGACAACACTGATCTTTCACTCGAACCCCTCCCCTCCGTTGTGACAAGTCTAAGACCACGGTGGCAGCTGGCCGTTGCGGTTGCTCTTTTTGATTGGTTGAGCCAGGATTGCAAAGTGACAAGCTGTTGCAACCGATTGCCCTAGCTACAGTAGCTTTAACCCCCGCTGGCCTCAAGTTTGTGAGGGCATTGTGGCAGGCAGCAGTTGAAGTCTGATCCCGTTTTGTGAATACACATAATCAGAACTATTCAGAGATCAAACGGCCAACAGAACGGCCCATCCACAGTGGCGACTTCAATTCCTGGGTTGGTTTCGAGCTATTTTTTCGCACTCCCTGTGCTTGTGCCTGAGAAGCAATGGGCGTACTTGATGATATTATGCTTGACTCTCGGCTGGCCATGCAGCAGCTCCAGTATTTTGCCAGGACATTGGCCTGCAGCAGTCACCATTGCATGATCGTTTGGAAGATGGCGGTGCATTGCCCCTTTTCTTTGGCCTGTTTGTTAAGACACGTGGAAGAAAGTCGAGGGGTAACGAAGCCATAGCTAGGACGTTTGACGGGACATGCCGGGTGATTGCCCTCGAAGGACATACCAGCCGGAAGCGGCAAAAGGGCTACTTGCTCGCAGACTGGAACTATGTTTTTGGGCACGGTTTTGCACAACATTGAGCTCGGTGGCCGGCATGTTTCAATATTTTCACAAGAGAGTTGTTGTTAAGGGCTCTAGGACATTGGAGTTCGTAGCATGTGCTCATGCTATCTGATGCTTGTGTCTTGCGATGACGAGCTGGCCCAGACACTCACTAGCCGTGTAAAGTCTGCGCAGCTGCGGCCCTAGATCACTTTGCCATGGCCTCAGATGAGAAGCCGCCAGGCTACCTGGATGGACATTCGCCGGAGCAAATCAATGCTGTCAGCAGTGCTTTGATCGTAGGAATGCTGGTGGTTCCAATCATCGGAGGAATTTTGGACCGAACCATATGCAAGAGGTATTCAGCGCACAGCAGGGAACCTATGTGGGTGTGGCTGCTGATCATTCTCAGCTATGGATATTTGATCCCAGGACTTGTAGAGGTGCTTTTCAGCTTCAACATCGTCTTCGACATGGGCAGCAAGGGCTATTATGGCATTGGGCCAGGCGGTAGCATCAACAAAGCACCACCCACGACTGAGACGATGCTTGGCTTGATTCGTCTTCTGAACGACACTGGGGGACAGCTGGGTGCTGCTCTGGTGATCATTTATGCCATTGTGATCCCCATCATCAAATTGCTTTTGACCTTCTTCGGAAATACCTTGCAATTGGCTTCCTGCGGGAATCATCGCAGGGCGTCTCGCAGGTGCATCCAAGTGGTTCAGAATATCTCCAAGTGGGCTTGCCCTGATATGTTTGCCTACATTATCCTGATGCATCTTGTGAGATCCTTGACAGTGCCACCGTATTTCAAAGCGAATGGCCGATTGGACATTGGCTTCACCTACTTTAGCCTCTTTTGCCTTGGATCGACGGTGGCTTCACTTGGTATTCGGGTCCCAGACCGGGAGCATTTTTGCTTTCAACAATTGGGCAAGCTCCTGGGTCCACGACGGCTCATTTTCGTGACCATGTCCCTCTCCGTGGCATTCTTCATTTTGTTCTTTTGCGGACTTTCGCAGACGGTGATGTCCCTGAAAGTCGCGAACTCACTTCCAGATTTGGTGAAAATGGTGTTGAGTTTTGTGGGGCTGAAGCCAGAAGATCTCGAGTCAGAGGTGAATGTCTTTGACCTGATTCATGGCTTGGCCCAGGAGACTTTTGAGGAGGGCAAGGTCACCAGCTTCGTTGGCTTCATCATGTTCTGTGTTTTTGTGATTGGCATGACCCTTGTTGACATCATGGCTTTGATGGCGGCGTCGATTGCAGCGCACAACCGGACACCCGCAGCTCGTTGGATGCAGCTGTCCTGGATTGTGAAGAAATTGTCGATGGTAGATGTGATGTGCATGGGTGTCTTGGTGGTGACCCTGTGCTTCTCAATGTACCGAGAATATGTCATCGTCACCATGGGGATTGGTCAGTGGCTCTTAGTGGCAGCAGAGGTGGTGCACTACTTCACCTACTACACGGTGAAGGGTGTGATTGAAGTCACTGAGAAGGTGGACTTGGGCCAAACAGCAAAGGGAGATGAGGAAACCGACCTCTCCAGTGACGAAAGCAGTACGGACGAGGAGGAGGTTATATGAGGTTTCATGCTGAGCGGACTTTTCCAGACTTATATTCGTTCAGTTTTGGACTCGCATTCAGTAAAGCGATTGCGGGTTCAAGGCAACTGCATGACCCCTCCTTGAGCATCCGTCAGAATGTCGGCCCAGCCCGTGTGTCCATAAAGACAGCCACGCTTTGGCAGTGTTCATGGCATCCCACAGGCCTTCTTGTCACTTCAACAGGTCTCTTCACACCGCCCAAAGCTTTGCTGGACCAAGGCTGTTGCAGGTCATGCGACAATCTATACTTCAACCGGATTTGCTCCTTGCCTAAATGACTCCAACATCCTCCAACTCCTTGGGCGAAGACGAATCACTTGAGATCCCGGGAATGGAAGTAAAGGTCTCTCTCACCTAACTAGAACATAAGACTAGAATCCATGGATGATTATTGTGAAAGTCTGAGTGCTCTGGACGTCGAAAGCACACATTTACATACTGAGTCAAAGACTCTGCTGGGTTGGAGCCGCCAGCCACAGCTGGTCTGCTGCGGGTTTGGGCGCTGCACTGTTTGCCAGAGGCTGCACTACAACGCGGCCCTGACAGCACAGCGGCGTGCTGAGCACTGGCAGAGTGCTCAAGTGATGCTGTGCGAGATCTACCAGGCTCGATCGTTGGTTTTCAGCGGTGTCTGTGGATGATTCGCCCAGAGGGACAGTGGACCACCCAACCCATCTTCGAAAAGACATTTCCACCGGAAGTACTGTCGGGCAGGCATTGCCAGCATGCCAGCCATGAAGTCAATGTACTCAATGATTCAATGTATATATATATATACTTCGGAAAAGCTGACACATTGGAAGACCTGGAGGCTGCCATGGAGCCAACTACAAGGAGCTTAGAGCTCAGCTGCAACAAAGCAGAGCTCACCTGCACTGGCTGGAACTAGCTGAGAGATTCTACTTACAGTAGTTACAGTATTCAGTTCCGGCTTGGAATTCCAATTGGTGAATCAAGCTGAATCCGCATGCTGTCGATGATTTCTGGTGGGGTGGCCTTTCTTCTTAAGCTGGGTGCCGTAAGGCCTCAATGCCTTGCTGGGTGCCTCCAAGCTATGGCGCCGCACGGCTCTCCTTCTGCAAGCGATGCGCAGCAGCTACTCGGGTGATGCCTGCAGCTGCTCGGCAAACGTGTGATTTTGTAGGAGGCAGATTTCGTGGATGGCAGATTTGCTCCTTTATGATGCTGGTGTTTTCCTTCGACGTCTACCGAATGCAATCATTAGGCTCTTTTTCCATGGCTGTCATGTTCCATTTTACGTACAGTAACCTTTCCGTTTTGTTACCTCTTCTTTTTGATGTCCATGTTGGAGGTTTCATGTCACACCTGATGTCCCACACTTTTTGAAGCTGAGTTTGGGTGAGTGAAAGAGCTGCAGCGTACGCTGCGCCGATCTCAGGCTACAGTGATGCGATGAATGCCTATCGCCGTGGGCTGCGTGGCACTGAACATTTGGCCATGGGGCCATGACCTCTGACCCATGCAAACAGCTTTCTCAAGCCTCTCATACTGTACTCACAATGTCAGTCCTTCAATGTCCGTGTTGTTCTTCAATTCTTAAACCTGTTCAAGTGATGCCGGCATTCCTTCCTGTTTACAATGCTTGTTGAATAGTGTGTTGCTTTGGGAGGTCCCAGTGGAATCTGGCTCAGCAAATCTTTGCAGAGATGCCCCAGAAGCAGGCGTGATGGCGTGGCATGACATGGCGGGAAACGACAGCATGCACCTGATGAGGGGGGGAACGACAGGTGCAGCAGAATGTCTTCCACTTCAACGAGGTCATGTGCAACATCCTCCAGGAGGTCAGCGCGAGAATTCTCCTCCGCCCCTGCCAAACAGTAGAAACGATGTTGCATTTCAGGAGAAGCAGTGGGTCTTGGTGCTTCAACTCTATGATGCTATGGGTGCGACTGGAGTGCCGCTTGGAAGGGTTTTGGCGCAGCTGGATGCAGCAGAAGATTTGGGACCTCTCAGACACATCTGACGAGTCATCTTCTCGATGTAAGGTTTTGAATCTTGATAGTTTCTTTATGTCTCTTTGTGGCTACAGCCGTTACTCCTCCAGGCTCTCACACCCATGCGTAATAGTACGCATGCTGGGTGCTATTCAAGTATTCTTCTTTTTTTTGTTTCGATGTTTAGGTTCAACTTTGACTTATATAGTTTCGTTGAAAGGTCTTGGGCTCAATACGCTTCTCTTTGTGGAGGGGCATTTGCTTAGCATGCTGTGCTTCTTGTTTGGGCATCCATACTCTACTCTACACTGACATAACTGGAAAGCTCAACGTGCTTGTGAAGCACGTAGGTTCCTAGATATATGCGCAACATGCGTATCATACTTCAGAAATAGTCCAGCGAATTTCCTCTATAAACCATGGTACCCTGGGGGTCATTTTGGTGCATTCTATAGTGGGTATTCTATAGAGGAAAAAATTCCGTGGTTCTCTATAAAATGACCCACCTCGGGGTGGGTCATTTTATAGCAGACCCTGTTTGAGGGCAAGATGAACCCCGGGTGCATGGATTTTATAGAGGCAAGGATTTTGATGATGCTTCTTATACTCGAAGTATGTGACCTTGGGTAGTGTAACTATATAGAAACCATTTTATAGAGAAGTCTTCATTTCATAGAGAAGCTTGGATGGATGTGAGCAGCGTCAAAAACCTCCCACAAACAGTTCAAGCACACTTGTAAACTCCAACTTGCCAGCAGAAGCCAAAACTGCAGTCGTGGAAGCTTGCGGAAGCCACCGCGTAAGTGTATGGTAAAATTCACTATCGCTGAAGTTTTACCTTCTTGAACCTTGTTGACAATAACAAATGCCTCTTTACTTTTTAAGGAGGTTTGTCTAACCTAGGAGCACTTTAGCGCCGGGGAAGAGGACTTCAACCAAACATGGCCCGCGGAAGTCAACAAATATGTTTTTGGGGAAGGAGGTGAATGATCTGGTGTGCCATGGTATGTGATTCTACAGAGTGGCTTTTTGCTTTGAGGCATGTGCTTTTTGATGATTGAATTCCGTTGTGGAGTTCCAGGGCAGCGCACACAATATCAGAAGTAGATGTATTGAGCCTATATTAATGAAAGGCCCTGATTCTATAGAAGATAATTTGGAGGTTTCCAGGGGGTGGACTGGGAAGGAGGCCTTCAAGAACCCATTAACACCTGACTCATATGGTGTGTTGCTGTTAGGAAGGAGAGCCATTGTGTGAAATCATGTGTTGTGTGTTGTGGCTGTGGATGTGTTTGGGGTTTGTGGATGTGTGTGGGGGGAGGTTCATGTTCATGTGGGAACCCTGGCATGTTACTAAAGAATGAGGCCACCTACTCCATGTTAGCAACTATATCGACCTGATATTTCCAATAGGGTGCGTGAATCTATAGAGGACCATTTTGGCAGGTGATTCTATAGTAGTCCAGATTTTAAGCATGGGATGTGTGATTCTATATTCTGCAGCCCTTCTTCTCTATCTTGGGTGCCCAGATTTTATAGTGCCAGAACCCTGGGGGCACCGTTTTATATCTATAAAATGACCACCCTTGGGGGTCAGGTGGAATTCACAGGAGGATCTTCAGAACATGTGCACTTGTAATACAAAGACAGAATCACAGATTCCCTCAAAGGACATGAGAGACCTTCTTACAATTGCAAGACAACTCTGGGTGGGTCAGGGCATTTTTAGAGAAAGCTCATGTATTTGCCTGAGCTATAACGCCGTCACCCGACGTCACTGTAAATTCGACCGAAGTTTCTGAATTAAGGCTAGCGGCTAGTGAGGCCTGATCAGCTTCTCAATGGTTGCGCAAGTCCTGACCAGTGTGCCCAGCAAACGCTGAGCGGAGCGTGTTAACCTTAAGACACTAGATACTATATAGGGACTGGCTTCATGACATGTGACCAAAATCGCCCCCCCTGGCTGGGCAGACGGGTATATTTTCCCGGCTCAGTTCCCGGTCACCCAGGGGCGTTCCCTGAGCTGCCATGAGCAGCGCTTTGAGCTTGGACGGGGGTGCTCTGCTGACCAAGGCCATGAAAGAAATTGTTTTAGACGTTCTTTTTTTTCAAGCTTTTCCAAAAACGTCCAATATAGAGCCCCAGATTGAAACAGTTGGCCAACTTAAAAGGAAGGGCGACTTCCCAAGACATCAAAGAACATTTTGGGAGAAAGAACGTCTCCTGGCAGGTCAGATGGGCCATTTCTGTTCACACGACGTGAAGCCAGTCACCGACCTAGTGTCTTAGCACACTCCGCACTGCGTTTGCTGGGCCCACTGCAACCATGAGAAGCTGATCAGGCTGCAGGAAAGCTAGCCAGCTTTACACACTTGAATGTTGCACCGGCTTCTATTTCGCGACGGCAAAAAATTTTCAGACGACCCAGGTCCTTTCTCAGGCTGGAAACAAACCTTTCGACCTGACGGCCTACGAATTATCATAATTCAGCCAGGTGTATTGCCTCTGATCTATCGAGCCTCTCCTCCTCAATCTCCTTCTACCTTCTTTGGCCTGTCCAACGGCCCATTGATCGTCCTCTAACCTGCCTGACCAACTCTCCAGTTTCCGGTTAGTTGAAATTCTACGCGCTCCTTGAACACCAGTCAGGTGCACCTTCAGTCCTGGACTCGAGACTGCAGTCACCGCCCTTTTGGCCTTGGGGTCTGACCAGTTGGTCCGTTCGCTTCCTTTGCCTTGCCCTTCCTTCCATGCGTAATTTGACGCCCGGAAGCCATGCGCAGACCGTTACCACTTCAACTTGGTAGCGGAGCTCCGGCTCCGGCTCCTTGCTACCATTGTTGCACTTGTCGCTGTGTTCCTCTTGGCGCCAACAGTGTTGAGACAGCGCTGGACTGCTTTGCAGCAGTTTGATGAGAACACGACAGTACTTCCTTCTTACACCACATCGCGGGACCACACACAGCAACCACGTATTCAGTTGTGACAGTTGGCAAGGTCATAACCCACTCTTGGCTAGCTCCCCCAACTCTGCAGATGACGGCGGTCAAGGACCCTGAAGATCAGACAGATGTGTTCCATGAAGCCGACCTGAATGAACCTGCTGAATTGGTATACAATAGGGAAAAGTACTGAGTCACCCACGGCTGAAAAAAAGAACTTTTCTCACCATCTTCAAGGCACGTCTGATGAAACAAGGAAGAAGCTTCGCAGAACCTTGACCGCTGTCGCGAGTCAATGGCACAGTTCTTTTTGGACCAACAATGTTTGTCCACGTTTGCCAAGCGAGGGATTTGTGCGTGGGATCGCGTTCAAACGGTTGCGTGATCTCGATCCCTCACAGCCTCTGAGACAGGTTGAAGTTGCCTTGCCCCCAGGGTCCGAAGAATTCCTCCGCACATTCCTTGAAACGTCAAATTTGAATGGCCAAGTAAAATGTTTGAGCATTCGGACTCAAAAGGATGCGCTGAGATTTGGGAACCTGGCTTTGAACGAAGTGTTGTGATGTGTTGTGGAAAGCCAGTTTGAGGAAGCCGAAGTTGATGCATCAATGCAAGTGCTCAAGCTGGCCGCTGCCAATTTTAGTGAACTTAAGAACTTAAGATAGCCACAGGTAATTTCGAGCGTTTAGGAAACACAGATTGGAACCCGAGGCACTCCCACTCTCAGTCAAGAATACTAAATGGCCGAACACAGGTATATTCCTGAAGCTGGTTGAAGGGAAGTGGTGAGCCGGTGTCGAAGGATTTGAAACCACGGGGAATAGATTGGACTGTCCAGACACAACCTGACATTGCCGTTTTTGTTGGCGCCGTAGCGGAAACTGGAGCAGACTGAGGCTGGAAAGGGGATTGTCAACTTGAACCGTGTTCTCGCTGTTTCCCGCTTACCTCAAGCGAAACATTTGAAACTGACCTAGCGTAAGGTCAATGAGCCGTTTCGAGGGTGGAGTGAAGGAGGTGATGCTTTGGCAATGCGCAGTTGCGAGCTAAAGGTGGCCAACAGTTGGTGGTAATCCTTTAATATCCTTTACAAGGGACTTGAGGTTCATAGACGCAAAGCAGAGAACTTCGCAGTACTTTCACGGCTGAATTGTTCTCAGCGTTAGGCCTCGAAAATGCGATTGATGTGGCGATGGCCGAAATTGTTCAGAGGTTGGCAGAAACCCAAGAACGGATGAACACACCCTGCAATTATATAGATCTGATACTTGGTGGCAAGTCTAATATTTCAATGTATTGCAGCAGCCGGCGCCCGCCTGTGATCACGGAACCTAATGGACAGCGCTCAACTCTGTCCAAATCCACAGTGAAGCAGGGACCAAGTTCAAGACTTGCTATGGCGTACCAAAAAATGTCGTCACAATGCAACTTGAGTTGAAATGTGCATGCTCCTTGAACACCTGTCAAGTACGTTCGCTTCCTTTGAACTGCCTCTTCCTTCCATGCGTGGTCAGACGCCCGAAAGGTATGGAAAAGGGATTGAGTGCAACGCGGCAGCCGTTGTCATGAGGGACAACACGGACCATTACCAAGTCAATTGTTTGCGGTACACATTCACCTTCCACAGTAGGTTTCTGGCCCCATTTGACCTAACTAACCTACCTGGATGTGTCCGCTCCATGTTGCCGTTTCCTGCAGCCTGAAGGATTGGGGACGTGACGCTGCGGAATTCTGCGCGTCGACTGGGCAATTGGCCTCTAGCCTTGTCCTTGGGCATTGAGGCAGGGTGTTGGCACGGGCACCTTGGGCAGTCACTTGATGTCAACTGCGTTATGGGGTTTTGGCTGGCGGCTTTTGACTGGGCCACTGGAGCGAGCCCTGCACGCAAACCATGCATGCACATTTTTGCACTTCACTTGGAGCTTGGGTATGGCATGGTGCTGCAAGATCTTGTCATGAGCATGAACCACGAGCAAATCAATGGATGGCGGCAGGAAGTGGTCGGAACCACTGCTCTGTTGAAAAGCGTGGGTTCAGGCGGGCACCATCGGAGCTTCGCGTTTCAATGTGCTTCATAGAGCTAGAGT